GGAGAAGAAAGTGCTGGCCCGAACGTGGCCACACAAATTCAAGGAGTGGTTCCGACATTTCACGGACCACGGCTTCCACAGCCTTCAAGATTTCATGCGGTTGTCCGACGACGGCAAGTGGCCCTCCGAAGACACATTCACAGAGCGCATGGAAGCGTGCTTTTGGAGCTTTGACGGCCCCGGAGCCGGTTTTCGGCCCTCGACTATGTACCATCGGCTGTCATCGATCGCTCAAGGCGTATGGCGACACTACAACGTCCCTTGGGACCAACCGCTGTCCAGTCCAACGCAAGTAGCACCATTATGGCCCATGTCCGACATTCACGGCATTGTGCCGTTCCACGCGTGGTCCAAGGAGCACGTCAAGTATATGTGCGTCACGACGCCACAGCGCAAGAAGCCTCATCCGATGATTACACCCGAACGCCCATCCGACGAGGCGATTATAGACTACCTCAAGCGCGTACGTCGCCTCCGTCCATGGGGCATGCCGGTCCAATACGACGTCTGGTTCCGCGCGATGATGAACATCCTCCCCACGGGCTCCAAGTACCGCTTCATGGAATCAAATGGCCCAGACGCTACCAAGTGCCCATACGCGCGTTGCCAGGCGCTCGAAACGCCACGTCATGTCCTCCACGATTGTATCTGCGTCCGTGCCCTTTGGCAAGCTCACCGCCCAGCGTGGCGACAGCTGGGCGTCGATCTGTCGTGGGACATGTGCATGGACATCGGCCTGATCGAGCCACCAGCGAACCTCGCCAACCTCAAAGAGACGATCGTTCAACTGGCAAGCAGCCTCATCATGATCATCGTCCACAAGTTGTGGATGCACCGCAATACTGTCGTGCACCAAGACGCCGTCGGGCCTCAGATCGCCAAGATGGTGCACGAGACCGTGGTCCAGTGGTCCGGCTTTGTCCGGTCGGCTCTACGGGACCCAGATCGGCCACTACACAGCAAGGTCCACATCACGACGATTGTGGCTCTTCTCTGCGAAGACAACACGTACGCAGAAGCCCAGGCCAACAACGACAACATTTTCAGCAGCCTCGCGCTTCCTCGCCGACTTCCACGCACTCTCGCCGCGGAGCTCGACGCACTCAACTAGCAAGATAGCGACACTCGTCCATCGTCCACTCTTCTCCACCGACGAGCCTTTCAACATCAGCCATGCATCCAACAGTGTCCAAAACCTAGCCAACGACTTCCATCTGCCCACGAGTTCAAGTGAGCACCCCCCGTGTACCTTCGGGTGCTGCAGCTCCAGGTCGGCCCAAGGTCGCATCCAAGTGGAGCTCCGCAACACGGGTCTGGCTCACGGCCGCGAAAGCGCCGACGTGGCCCCGCGGTGCATCGATTGGTCCCCCCAACTCGAGCTCTGCTGAGGCTTGACCGTGCGGGAGTAGTGGGAAGAAATCAAGCGCAACCGGTCGCTCAAGTAGCTTGGCAACGGACCACATTCAAGACGAAACCCAAAGGGTAATTTCGGTAATATACCGCCTGACATGAATTTGATCCTGTAAAAGTACGGTCTTAATTCATGATTGTGACCGTATTTTTGGCATTGCTACGTTTGCAAAAGCACGCGTTCCTCATGTAGGCTCAAGCAAATACACCTCAAAACGAATCCGATACCGTGATTTCGACATGGCGCGTAGAAATCCGCATAAAACCAGCTGATTCCGCATACGATCCGATGGTTTTGCAGGAAGTAGCGTATATTTACGGTAAACGTGGCCGTGACAGCGTCGTTTTGAAAGGCAACACCATATCTTGCCTTCAAATCACACTATCTTTAGTAATGCATATAGTGTGTGTACTGCATTGGCAAATTCAACGTTGAGCCAGGAGCATTCAGGACCTAGGACCGAAACGTACGCTTCGAACAGGCTTTTTGCCACCCTCGCAGCTCGAGCCAACCTGCGAGAGAACCAACGCCATACCAGATTCTTGCAAGACCTCAGATGACACGCTACATATCGCTATCAATATCGCTATCGTGCAGTCCATCAGCATGCCTGTGGCGTCGACGCGTCACCAACCCTAGGTGCGACGACAGCTGCAGCTCGCCCACGCAGCGCAACCTCCCGACCGTAGTATCCTTCCAACACCAAGTGATTTCCAGACGCTCGTTGTTGATGCTGAGGCGTCGATCGGCCCCACCGGACCGTTTCCAAGCGCGTGACACACCGCTTTTCGTCAGCTCGCAGCTTCAACCGCGGAAGATCACTTTCACCACGCGGCCTGCAATGAGCTTCCTCCCGGTGCTCCTCTCGGTGGCAGCCATCCTTGCGCCTCCTCTCTCGAGCGCAACAACCACCGAGGCGCCCAACCTCTCGGGCGACGAGCGCGATGAGCTCTCGCGCGACTTGACGCGCTGGCAAAAGAAGTTTGGCAACGATGACCACGTGCGCACGGCCATGGGCTTGGTGCGAGGGACCTTGACGACCGACGATCTTCTTTGGCGATTGAAGGCGGCCAAGGATGAGCTTCCGACGCTTCGTGCAGCCAACCCGTACGCCACCTTTAGCCACTTGACCAAGTTTGCGCTGCTCACCGACATCGAGTTTGCGCAGTTCGCGTCATCGCCATCGCCGGTGCCACCACCGGTAGCTCTCCCAGCGGCCGCCACTTTGAATCGCAGTGCTGTCGGCGGCATCGTCGTGAGCGTGGTCGACTGGACCAAGCAGTCAGTTTGTGTCGCGCCAGCGAAATGGATCGGCAAGTGTCGAAGCGATTGGGCGATTATGGCGGCGGCGGCCGTGTCGTCGGCGCACTGTCTCGCAACCGGCGAAGCCATCAATCTCTCGGTACAGCAAGTGCTCAGCTGCACGTATATGGGCGGCTCGGAGAGCTGCTCGGGCCCTGGGACCCCATTCGATGGCATGCAGTGGCTCGTCCGGCAGTCCAGCGCCTTGTGCACTGGGTCGGCGATCCCATACACCTCGGGCCACTCGGGCGTCGCGCCGTTTTGCAGCGACAACGCCGAGTGCGCCGGGTCGATTTCTCTCCAGGTCGGCGTGGCCGTGGAAGCGCGTGGCGAGGCCGCGCTCGAGAAGCAGCTCCAGAAGCAGCCTGTCGTGGCGTACGCGACGACCAACAACTACGTGTGGCGGCAATATACTGGCGGTCTCCTCTCGTGGTGCCCGAGCGGCCGCCTCGACCAAGCCGTCCTCGTCGTGGGCTTCGGCACCGAGGATTTTGGCTTCTCGCTGCCACCCACTCGCTTCTTCAAGGTCCGCAACGCGTGGGGCCCCGACTGGGGCGAGAACGGCGACATTCGGCTCGCGCGCGGTCCCGGCGCCGGCGACTTTAGCCCGTGCAACATCACATCGTACTTCACCTACCCGACGCTCCAGCTTTAAAGTGCAACGACCCACCGCATGTCGACAACTCCACCGACGATGGCGGGCCGTAGGCAACTACTTGTCAAGGCGTCGTTTGGTCTAAGCTTCCTGCATAATGAAGCTGTATATGCACGAGGGTTTGAATGCGCGCAGCAAAGTGCTTGGGTCGACTTCTGCAAGTATGGAACGGTCTCTGCCTACACTGTACCCATCCGTCCTGGGCGTAGCGACTTGAAGGAGTAGCCTGCTGGGTTGTCGTCGTGAGATGTTGAAGCATCGATCGGCCCGCCGGTCGGTTTCCTAACGCGTGACGCAGCGACGTCGTCGAGCTCCTATCTTTTACCGCAGAAGCTCACTCTTCCTCTCGCTGCTGCTGCTTGCGATGCGCTTCCTCCATGTGCTTTTCTCGATGGCCATCGTCCTTCTCGCGTGGGTGATGACCGTCGACGCGCTCAACATCTCGGCCCACGAGCGCGATGAGCTCACGCGCGACTTGACGCGCTGGCAAAAGAAGTTTGGCGACGACGACCACGTGCGCGCAGCCATGGCCATGGTGCGAGGGACCTTGACGACCGACGATCTTCTCCGGCGCTTGAAGGTGGCCAAGGACAAGCTTCCCGCGTTGCAGGCGGCCAACCCGTACGCCACCTTTAGCCACTTGACCAAGTTTGCGCTGCTTACGGACAACGAGTTTTCGCGGCTCGTGTCGGGGTCAGCGTCGGCGCCGGTCATACCACCGTCGCCTGCTTCCATGCCATCGAACAGCCGATCGAACCGCAGTGTTGTCAGTGGCACCATCATCAACTCGGTCGATTGGACCAAACAGTCGATTTGCGTGCCGCCGGTCATGACCATGGGCAAGTGTCGAAGTGACTGGGCGATCGCAGCAGTGGCCAGCGTGTCGTCGGCGCACTGCCTCGCAACCGGCGAGGCCATCCAACTCTCGGTGCAGCAAGTCTTGGGCTGCACGTATACGGGCGGCTTGGACCGTTGCTTGATCTCCGGGCTCACGATCGACGGCATGCAGTGGCTGCTCCAGCAGCCCAGCGCCTTGTGCACGAGGACGGCGATCCCATACACCTCGGGGGCGACAGGAACGGTACTGTTTTGCAGCAACAACGCACACTGCGCCGGGCCGATTTCGCTCCAGGTCGGCGCCGTTGAGGTCATACATGGCGAAGCGAAAATTGCCTTGCAACTCCAGACGCAGCCCGTCACGGGTTACGTCACGGTCAACAACGACCCGTGGCGACTGTACGCTGGTGGCATCCTCTCGTCGTGTTCGACGGTGGGCTCCGTCGACCACCACGCCGTGCTCGTCATCGGCTACGGCGCAGAGGACTTTGGCTATGGTACCAAGCCTATCAACTACTTCAAGGTCCGCAGCAACTTCGGCCCCAATTGGGGCGAGCGTGGCGACATTCGGCTCGAGCGCGGTATTAATACCATTAGTGGCACATGCGGCATCGCGTCGCACGCCTCGTACCCGGCGCTTCTCTTATCATAGGCGGCAATGGATCGTCGGTCAACGTAGACACCTCGCGTACGGCAGCCAACGGCCCGCGTAGTTGTAGCGATCCCGACGCCATACGCTCATCCTTTGGTGTTGCGGGGAGCTATTCAATCCAATTTCGTATCTACGGCGTTCTGCGCTACATACCAAGGGCTACAAGTGCTCTTGCCCGTCTCGGTGGTTCTTGTGTTGGCACTCACAGCTACCACAGACGGCACAGTCCGCCCGAGCTAGAAAGGATTACCAGCTTCTTCCCTGTCTTAAAAGGGATGACGGATTGCTTGTCTGTCTACCCACTGCCGCGCTCTCCAAGAACTTATCTTGGTCCGACCTTTTGTCCCGTCCACCGTCCACCGTCCATATCACCGCGTGTGACAGCTGTGACGGATTGACGGTTTCAGAGCCACAACAGCCACCCGTTTTCCATTTGCTAAAGACTCATTTCGTCGTCGGCGATGATAGGGGACGAATATAGTTGGTGTATATTGATCTGTGATTGTCGTGTTGTATGCAAAAGGAAGCGATCCCTCTACCCGCTCGTCGCTGATTGGCCGTTGGCCGTCATCAAGTTGACCTCAAAGTACATTTGCCAGTACTGCACAAAGACAACGACGCCGATGAGGAGGAGCGAGCCAAAGATGTTGGCCGTGAACGTCGCCGACGTGTGGTCCCAGCCCGCGTACTCGGAGATGCTCATCTTGACCATCGGGTACAAGTTGGACATGACCCAGAAGCCGAAGAACATGGCCGAGATGTAGTTCCACGGACTCGTTGCGTTCTCGTACTGGAAGAAGCGAATGAGCGCGACGACCTCGGCCACGATGAGCGTAAAGTACATCATGACGTTGGGAATCTCGGTCCACGACGTCTTCTGACCGGCACCCGTGTTGGCCCAGGCCGAGATGACGCCCGTGAGGCGCCAGCGGACCGCCTCCAGGATCGCGAGCATCGTAATGAACGAGTAGGAAAACCACGTCTGCTGCGCACGCCACACGTCGTTCGAGTCGACGCTGCGGTTGGCGAGCAAGTTGAGCATCCAGCGCGCGAGCATTACGGGGAGGAACGTGTAGAGAAGCAGGTTGCCTTGCGTGTAAATCGGCGCGTCGCCCGTCACCAAGTAGTAGATCGCAATCGTCACGTAGCAGAGCGCGGGAATCGACCCGAACGGGTAAAAGACCGAGTCGTAGAAGAACATCTTGCGCGGAAAGTTGAGGCTCGGCTTCGGGTCCGGCGCCGGCACGCGGGGCGGGCGCCAGTCCGGGTCGACCTCGGAGTCCCCTTTCATAAGCAAAATCTGGACGGCACCCATGGCCCAGCGCTTGCGCTGGCCGAGCGACGCAGCGACAGTCTCTGGGATCGCACCTTCGCAGAGACGGATGCGGTCTTTCGCGTCGCCTTCGAAATCCTTGCGGAAGTAGACCGAGTCCCAGCCCGCCGTGTGCAAAATGTTGCCCGTGAACGCGTCTTCGGTCTGGGTACCGTACTGGATACCGCCGATCGAGTCGAACGCTTGGCGACGGAAGACGGCGTTGGTACCGGCGAAAGCGGCCGAGTCAAAACCGTCGCGACCGCACTGCACCGCGTCGAAGAAAATCGTGTTCTTGTGGCCGCACGGGTCGCCCATCTCAGTGATCTGCGGCGAGTCCTCGAAGTACTGCGGCGTCTGCACGTACGCGACTTGGTTCCACGAGATGTCGTCCGAGTACTGGCGGCCCGTGCCGTCCACCGCCTCGCCTTCCGAGAAAAAGAACGGGAGGACCGCGAGGAGGAACTTGGGGTGCGGCTTCATGTCGTTATCGAGGATGAGGATGTACTTGCCGTCAGCGCCTTCGTTGAAGAGGATGTTGTTGATGTTACCGGCCTTGGCGTGGTGCTCCTCCGGCTTCATGCGACCGACAAAGGTGACGCGGGGAATGCCGCGGTCGCGGTAGTCGTAGTCGTCGCTCAACGAGCCGACCGCGCAGTCGCGGCGCTGGATGCCCTTGTTGCCTTCCTTGCGCAACTCGCGCACCGACGAGTGCTGGCGGCGCCACGCCTTGAGCTGCTCGTCGCTCGTGACCGGGCCAACGACACGCTCGTGCATCATGCGCGCGACGTCGCCGCGCAAATCGCCGCAGTTGGCAATGTTCTTGGTGTTGACCGTCACTTTAAAGTGGTTGTTAGCGTCCCAGACCGACTTGGTGTACCCGTCGTCGCAGAGCCAGACGTGGAGGAGCTCGGGCGGGTACTGCATCGCGAGGCAGTTCTTGAGCGTTTGCATCGAGTCCACGACGGGCTCCGAGTAGTGGCACAAAAAGACGTCGACGCTCGGCCACTGCTCCTTTGGCAGCGCGGGCTTGAAGTCGTTGAGGTACCGCGCACCGCGGCGCACGGGGCGCCACATGGAGAAGTTGAAGAGGAGGCCGAGGAAGAAGTTGAGGTACTCGGAAAAGATGAAGAGGCAGTAGCAGAACCAGACACCACCGGGCGTGTCCTTGATGCAGTAGGCTTGGTCCGTGAGCACGTTCTTGCTCTGCGGGTTCGTACTCGGGTAGCACCCGTTGGCCTTGACGACGCTGGCTTCGATCGTCGAGCAGTCGAGGTGCGGCATCGAGTTGCTGCATGGACTCTCTCTCGGGTAGAACGTGATGAGGAACGCAAGCCACACGATGCCCGTGATCGCCGAGAGAAAGTACGCGACGTGGAAGAAGCCTCCGCCCGACATCTTGTACTTGCGGATGTTGGGCGTCTCGACGGGCTCGGCCGCGCGCCCCGCCAGCGAGACCGTGCTCATGGCGAACGACCGGAACGACGGCTCGTAAAAGTTCGGGCCGCCTTGCTTCTGCTTGCCGTCGCCCGCGTCCATGAAGCGGATCGACCGCGCCTCGGCGTTCTTCTCCGTCATCTTCTTGGGGTCGATGAAGGATGTCGTCGAGAGGTACGCGCGGTTGGGCACTTCCATCCACGAGGCTGGCGTCGTGCCGTCGGCGCCCATGGCGATCGAGGGTTTGTTGGCGAGCGAGATCGAGATGTGCTGCGTGCCGTCGTCGTTGAGCTGCATGGCCTCACCGCACTCGGTGCAGAACGCCGTGCCTTGTGGGACGGTTGCAAAGCAATTTTCACACACGAGTCGGTTGCGTTCGTTCAAATGCGGCGCTCCGGCTGCCGCGCCTCTAGACATAGATAGAACGTGAGATATGATGCTACTGCATGGGCGTAGGCCGTACGGAGGAAGCTCGGGGAGGTCTTCTTGGAGCACACCGTTCATCGGAAGGTGCGCGCCGGCCTTGTTGTAGCAGAAGAGGCCCCAGCGCATGCTGAGCTGGTTGACCATGCCGACAAGCGAGACGCCGCCCCACACGACGAGCATGATCGTCTTGTTGTCCGCCGAGAGCGACCCAAAGAGCGGCTGGCCACCGAGGCCGAGGACGCCGAAGAGCAGGTTCGAGAGCGGCGTTTGGTTGGGAAACGCGAGGCGGAAGAGCGCGTCCGAGAAGAGCCAGCCCCCGAGAAGGCCGCTCATGAGGAGGTACTTGAACCGGTGGTTCTCTACCTCCGGGCTCTTCGAGTGGGACACGAAGAGGAGGAAGAAGACGATGATGAACGCGATCTCAAACTCCTGGAGCGCGAACGACGGCTGCGACGTAAAGACGTTGCCGGCACCGCTGTCGAGGATGAGCAGCCACGGCGCAATGATCGCACCCGTGAGCGCAATGAGGAAGAGCGGGCCCACGGACGTGGCGAGCGACACGAGGATCGCCAGCGCGCCGCCGACGCCGGCCGCGATCCCAATCTTGGTCGCATCGCCTTGGCCACCGAGGTTGTCCATGCACGTGTAGGTCGTGACAAAGCCCCTACGGTCAGCATGCCATGAGCTCCATTTTCATCGAAGCGAGATAGACGTACATGGCAAAGCACGAGAGGATCTGCACAGAGACGAAGAGCGACCGCGCCCCAAGGGACATGGACGACCATCCGCCGAGCGCGAGCGAGAAGCCGCCGGCGATCCCGACGGCCCCCGCGACCGCGTTGCCGAGGGTCACCATGCACTGCGAGCTGCGTCCGAAAAGGTAAACTGACGGAATATCGACGTCGGATATCCACCTGAAACGAGTCCCTCGGTTGAAGAACCACATGAATTCATAGTAGGACACCTTACGTGAGGTTTGAATTGAGAAGCAATCGAACGAAACATAAAAGACGCTCAACCCAGGAAATGGTGTCGAGCTCTTCTTCGAAATTCCAACGAGCATACAAACGCCAAGTCGAAAAAAGCCTCGAACTTTAGCCCGCCGCCGGTTGGTGACGGTTTCGTGGCCGGATACGTGTAACCGGTAGGGGTTCCACGCGACCGTCTACAGCTTCCATCGTGCCACGTGCACGAGATGGTCGACCGGTCGCCGACCCTTGGCTATGGCTGGCAGACCGACTGATGACCGTGGCCGACAGATCGACGACCGATCGATGGCCTCGGTACATGGACCCAACGTTACCAGCACACAAGAGCTTGCGCCGTCGTGATGACAATGGCTCCACCGACCATAGCGGGCAGGTAAGCAGTATGTAGATGCACATGGTATGGTTCGAGATCGTTGCGAGTCGCCAAGCCAGCTGCGTGTGTGCACCGACAAGCGCTTGATCCATGTCTTTAGGTTCGTGCCAAATCGCGGGAGTACGGTGCTGCGACCAAGCGTGGCGATGCAGATGCGACTGGACTGCTTCAATGCCCACGGCGCCATCCGAGCTGCTCGTCCTTCTGCCAGCACTTGGGCGCCAGCAGATCGCCATGCCATCCCGTCTGTGTGGGTTCTTCAACAGAGATTTCACAGCGTTCCGGTACGAACGATGCAGTTGATTTGAAATACAATTTTATTATAGAGGCCAAGAAGCAAAAAGGAGATATCTACGTCGTCGTCTGCGAGAGGCCTTGGGCCGTGAGCATGTTGAGCGAGTAGGTCGTCTGCCACACTTGGACGAAGACGACGATGCCGACGAGCAGGAGCGAGCCAAAGACGCTGGCCGTGAACGTCGCCGTCGTGTGGTCCCAGCCCGCGTACTCCGAGATACTCATCTTGGCCATCGGGTACAAGTTGGACATGATCCAGAAGCCGAAGAACATGGCCGAGACGTAGTTCCACGGACTCGTCGCGTTCTCGTAGTTGAAGAAGCGCATGAGGCCGACGACTTGCGACACCAAGAGCGTGAAAACATGAGCACGTTGGGAATTTCCGTCCACGACGTCTTCTGCCCGGCACCCGTGTTGGTCCAGGCCGAGATGACACCCGTGAGGCGCCAGCGGACGGCCTCGCCAATGGCCAGAGCCGTAATGAACGAGTACGAGAACCACGTCTGCTGCGCACGCCACACGTCGTTCGAGTCGACCGTGCGGTTCGCAAGCAAGTTGAGCATCCAGCGGATAAGCATGACGGGCAAGAACGTGTACATAAGGTTCTGGCCGGGCGTGTAGATGGGCGCCGAGCCCGTGTTGAGGTAGTAGATAGCGATAAAGACGTAGCAGAGCGCGGGGATCGAGCCGAACGGGTAGAACACCGAATCGTAGAAGAAGAGCTTGCGCGGGAACACAAGCGACGGCTTCGGGTCCGGCGCCGGCACGCGAGGAGGACGCCAGTCCGGGTCGACCTCGGAGTCACCCTTCATGAGCAGAATCTGGACAGCGCCCATAGCCCAACGCTTACGTTGACCCAGCGACGTGGCGACGGTCTCGGGAATCGCACCTTCGCAGAGGCGGATGCGGTCCTTGGGCTCGCCTTCAAAATCCTTGCGGAAGTAGACCGAGTCCCAGCCAGCACCGTGAAGGATGTTGCCCGTGAAGGCATCTTCCGTCTGGGTACCGTACTGGATACCGCCGATCGAGTCGAACGCTTGGCGACGGAAGACGGCGTTGGTACCGGCGAAAGCGGCCGAGTCAAAACCGTCGCGACCGCACTGCACCGCGTCGAAGAAAATCGTGTTCTTGTGGCCGCACGGGTCGCCCATCTCAGTGATCTGCGGCGAGTCCTCGAAGTACTGCGGCGTCTGCACGTACGCGACTTGGTTCCACGAGATGTCGTCCGAGTACTGGCGGCCCGTGCCGTCCACCGCCTCGCCTTCCGAGAAAAAGAACGGGAGGACCGCGAGGAGGAACTTGGGGTGCGGCTTCATGTCGTTATCGAGGATGAGGATGTACTTGCCGTCGGCGCCTTCATTGAAGAGCACGTTGTTGATGTTACCGGCCTTGGCGTGGTGCTCCTCGGGCTTCATGCGACCGACAAACGTCACACGCGGGAGACCGCGATCACGGTAGTCATAGTCGTCGCTCAACGAGCCGACGGCGCAGTCGCGGCGCTGGACGCCCTTGATGCCATCCTTCTTGAGCTCGCGCACCGACGAGTGCTGGCGGCGCCACGCCTTGAGCGACGCGTCGTCCTGGACGGGGCCAACGACGCGCTCGTGCATCATGCGGGCCACGTCGCCGCGAATGTCACCGCACTGCTCAATGTTCTTCGTGTTGACCGTCACCTTGAAGTGGTTGTTGGCGTCCCAGACCGAGCGCGTGTAACCATCATCGCAGATCCAGACGTGGAGGAGCTCGGGCGGGTACTGCATCGCGAGAATGTTCTTGAGCGTCTTCATCGAGTCGACGACGGGCTCGGAATAATGACACAAAAACACGTCGACGGTCGGCCACTGTTCCTTCGGGAGCGCGGGCTTGAAGTCGTTGAGGTAGCGCGCACCGCGGCGGATCGGACGCCACATGGAGAAGTTGTACAAGAGGCCGAGGAAAAAGTTGAGGTACTCCGAGCCGACAAAGATGACGTAGCAAAACCACACACCGCCCGGCGTCGCCTTGATGCAGTTGGGCTCCTGCGTCTGGATGTTGATGTTTTGCGGGTTCGTACTCGGCGTGCAGTTGAAGGCCGTCTTGACACTCTGCTCAATGAGCGAGCACGAGAGCTGCGGCTGCGACACGCTGCACGGCGTCTCACGCGGGTAAAACGTGATGAGGAAGGCGAGCCACACGATACCAGCAATGGCCGAGAGGAAGTAGATGAGGTGGAATGCAGCGCCGCCCGACATCTTGTACTTGCGAATGTTGGGCGTCTCGACGGGCTCGGCCGCGCGGTTAGCAATCGAGTACGTCGACATGGCAAACGATCGGAACGACGGCTCGTAGTGGTTCGGGCGACCGCTCATCGATGCGCCGTACGGCTTGTCGCCCGCGTCCATAAAGCGGATCGAGCGCGACTCCGTGTTGTTCTCCGTCATCTTCTTCGGGTCCACAAACGACGTCGTCGAGAGGTAAGCGCGGTTCGGGATCTGCTGCCAGCGCTCGGGCGTCGTGCCGTCGGCGGCCATCGCGAGCGACGGCATCTGGGCCTGCGAGATCGAGACGTTGGGCACATGGTCGTCCGACGGCATGGCTTCACCGCACTCGGTACAGAAGGCCGTGCCGGCCGGGACAGTCGCAAAGCAGTTCTCGCACACAAGGCGCGTGCGCTCGTGCATGAACGGCGCCGAGGCCGCAGCACCCGAGGGCAGCTCCATCGTGTCTTCATGAATCGACGTCATGCCGACGTGGGCACCCACCTTGTTGTAGCAGAGGAGGCCCCAGCGCATGCTGAGCTGGTTGAGAGAGCCGAGGATCGCCATGCCGGCCCAGATGACCATCACGTACAGCTTGTTGCTGTCCGTGATGCCTTCGCTGAGGCTGTAGACCACACCTTCGTACGGAATGCCCATGATACCGAACATGAGCTTCGAGAGCGGCGCCTGGTTGGAGAAGACGAGGCGGAAGATACCGTCGCTGAAGAGCCAGCCGCCGGTGATCGCGCTAAAGAGCACATACTTGAAGCGGTGGCACTCCGTGTCCGAGGTCTTCGAGTGCGACAAGAAGAGCACAAACCAGAGAAGGCCAAAGCCGACGACAAACTCTTGCTTGGCAAACGAAGACTGGCCTTCAAAGAGGTGGCCGACCGACTCGTCGAGCACGAGGAGGTACGGCGCGAGAATGAGGCCGGTCGCGGCCGTCAAGAAGTACGGGCTCAGCACCGTGAGAAAGGCGGCGACCAGACCCATGCCGGCGCCGACACCGGCGGCGATCGCGAGCGCGGTCACTTCCGACGTTGACGTGACATAGTAGAGCGGCGAGTAGATGGCCATGAAGACGATCGCAAACACCGAGAGGCCTTGCGATAGCACAAAGAGCGGGCGGGCGCCGAGCGACAGCGGCGACCAGCCGGCCAGCGCCGCCGAGAAGCCGCCGAGGACCCCGACGATGCCCGAGACAAGCATACCCAGTTCGACCATCTTCGCAGGAGGAAGACGACCAGACGTGAGCAGGAGTGGACTCGAGCAAGCTTTTTCGGTAATGAGCGATTGGGTAAGCGGCCCACCGCCGTCCGCGCCCGCGTATACTTTATTCCAGTCATTTTAGTCGCTCGCCATAGGTCTTAGCGGCTGGCTTCCCATCAGTGGCGTGGTCCCACGCTCGCCTCTGCCTGCCCTGGCGCTTGCCCCAATAATTGCCCTATATCAATGCAGGTAGCGCCGGCTCTTTTCTTTCCTGCGATCGCATTGGATGCACGTCGCGGCATTGGCTTGGTCAGGTCTTTTGTATGGCAATTGCAATTTCCCCCGCTTCTTAAGAACCGGGATGTTATTTTTTTCATGGGTCATACAAACCGCAAGGTGAAAAGGGTGCCAACAATAAAAGAGCCAACTGGCGACCGGATTAAATTTTCGCCGCCGCATTGTCTCGTACCGGTGTAATGCACCGACCATTCGGCCAGACGTTTTTATTGGTTTTCTCCGCCAACCATACAAATACCCAATGCATTTAAAAACCAGCGGCCAAAACGACCCCCCGTGTAAAGTCGAGCCCTCCAAATTACAGCGCGTTCGAAACAATTGGCGCCAGCGTGACACCGATCACGCGCGTTAAACGTCGCGGGCTGGACTTTAACGCGACAAAAAAGGAGATGAACCTCGGGTTTCTATCGAAGGTTTAACCGATATTCGAACGAACGTTGGCACCCGTTCGCGGCCAGCAGTCAGTTTTAATTTTCGACCCACGGCTTGCCACCATGCTGCGCAAGACGACCTCGGGCCTCGTCCTCCTGGCGGCAGCCGCGGGTGCGGTCGAGTGGAACCAGTCGACCGGCTACCAAGTCGCGGTCTCCTTCAAAGGTACTGCATGCGACCATCGGATGGCGATCTCACGCATATGCATTAGGCTGGAGCAACTTTTCGCCGCTCAACGGCGGCTGCGTCACGTGCCCGTACACGTGCGTGCGCCCGGCGACGGGCCCGGATGGCCTCGCGCTCAATTTTACGAACGCGACCATGATTCAAAACCTGCCGGCCATCTACTCGACGCCCGTGTCCAACGGCTGCTGCTACGCGTCGCCGTCCAAGAGCAAGGTCATGCCGAGCTGCAACGCCGAGGCCAACCCGACGACGACGGAAGACTGCGGCTTCCTCTATGGCCCGACGCTCAAGTGGAGTGTGACGGACACGAGCAACCCGCCCAACACGAAGAAGCCGCTGCGCGCGATGCTCATGGCGTCGACGGATTGCAAAAACTTTTGGGCGGTCCAGCAGACGTACGTCAAGATGGAAGGTATCGCGACGTCCATCAACATTACGGGCTCGAAACAGATCAATGGCGGCTGCTACGGCTCGCAGCAAGGCTCGGCGATCATCCTTGCCGGCTGCCTCTCGACCGAGCTTACGTTTGACAAGTCGGCGACCTACACGTGGGACAAGCTCGCGACCAAGTGCACGGGCCTTTCCGGGCAGTGCACGCGCACGAACGCGCTCTGGGGCAAGAACCTCAAGTGCTGCCTCGGTGACGGCATTGACTCTGCGCCGTGGGACACGCAGTGGGAGTTTTACCACAAGAAGGTGTCGCCCGGTATCGAGCTGTCGGGGCCCTTGGTCACGCTCATTGTCTTTTTGGGCGTCGGGCTCCTCATGGCCTGCGTCCACTTTGGCTCCAAGGTGCGCACCCGTGCCAAGCAGACGGCGTTGATGCGCGAGCAAGAAGCGTCGGAGGATTACGAAGAGGTCATGACGCCGCTCACGGGCGACAAGCGCCCCGCCAACACCAACAACCGGTCGATGCACCAGAACCCCGACCTCATTGAGCACTCGCTCCACGAAGGCGACCAGATTTATAAGAAGAAGGAGGACGAAGTTCTCTTCGAAGGCGATTTGTATTAAAAAATATATTCCGAGACCCGGCCCCATGAGACTATCGCCTTGTCTAGCCACCGATCTTGGATCATGGAACCCTGAGGAAAGCATGCCGCTAGGAAGCCTGACGCTCTCCTAAAGGATGCGCCAGTTGGGTGCGTTAGGGTCAAAGCGCCCTACGGTACCATGACTTGCCGACAGCGATAGCACGCGTGTCTATGCAATATCAACTCGGCTGACGTGCTGCTCCTCCCGCTACATGCGCTGCGTCGAGGTTACCGGAGCGATATCATGCAGGTTGCAAGCGTGGCGCATCCGAGCGTAATTTATTACGCGCGCTACAGCGCCGCGAGGTGCTCGGACGAGATGCCTTCGTAGCACATGAGCCCGTCGGCGTTGGGAATGTCGTCGCGGACGCCTTTCTCCTTGAGGTACTCGGCGAGCTCGTGCCACTTGTACTCGAAACAGTAGTGCAGCCCCGTGTTGCCGCGGAAATTCTGCGCACCAAGAGGACATCATCATCGACGACATCGAGGGCGATGCGAATGGGATCACCTGCATGTTGGTGTCGCAGCGCCGACGCATGAGGAACTTGCACATGTTCTTGTTGCCTTGCTGGCACGCGAGGATGAAGAGTGAGTTGCCGTTCTCGTCTTGGGCGTTGACGTGGACGCCCGCGTCAAACATGCTTTCGAGCTAGTAGCACGGTGATGGCGATGGCTGTCTACCGGCGCCCCGTACCTCTTTGACGTTGTTGTTGCGCGTGTACAGCACGGCCTTGCGAATGTTGTCGGCGTCCGACACAGGCGACGGCGGCTCGTCGTCGTCGTCCATCTCGGCGAAGACGTCGGCGATGCTCGTTTGCTTTTGGCGCTTGGCCTGCGACTGGAGCAGCTTGTTCATGAGGACGACTTCCGCCTCCAAGCTCTAGCAGATGCACTACAGTCCTGACGATGGCACGATAAAGACGTACCGGTACAAAGTGCGCTCGAAAGTCGGGCACGTCGTTGGGCTGCTCGTAGGTGCCCGTTTTCGCCGGGTCGATGAGCCCCGCGACCAAGGGAATGTTGGGGGCCACCGCCGTGGGCTACGTCACTCACTGCGTTGGGAATGGCGTCGACGAAGACAAAGTACCGGTGGCGTCGCAATGCTGGGCTCGTACACCTTTTTCGCAAACGATTTCGGGAGCTTGGCGACATTGAGTCGCTTCCAGCCTTCGCCCGGTCGAATGGGCTGCGTCGGCGACGCTTCCTTTGTAATCTGCAGCCGCAGAAGCCGCTTTACACTCATCGTCGACGTTTCTTGGATCGACGGTTCGCGCTCGAGCGTGCGCAGCACCCGTGCTGCAATACCATCGTCGTCCTCGTTCTCCGAGTCGCCGCTCTCGGACGACGAGTCGTGCTCGGTCTCTGCCGTGTGCTTGGCTCGCTTGGGCTTGGAGAGAAGGCCAAGCTTGTCTCGGAGCAGCTCGAGAAAGACCTCGCTCTCGGCGAGTTGCTTGGCCATTCGCGCCACGTCACCCCCGTCGTCGTCGCCATCTTTCTTGTTCTCGTCACCGCTGTCCGTGTCCAATGGATTGGACCGTGGCGACTCGCTGCTAATGGGAGGCTCCAGCGGTGCGGCGTCGTCCGTCTCGAGCGGCCAGCCGTGCGGAGGGTCCCACGACGACCCATTCAAGAGCTCTGGATTGCTGTGGTGGTAAAACACCACGTGCGTCGGGTCGTGCCGGCGCTCTTCCCAGCCCTGCCACTCGCGCAGCAGCACCGAGTGCGCCACACGGTCCCGCCACTCGTCGACCGTCGACGCCTACCATCGAGCGAGTATTGCAGCCATCGTCGCCGCATGGACGTGGTTCAATTACATCGATCGCGGCTTTTCCGTCGCGTTCGGCTTGCACGCGCTCCTTCTTGCGCAGCGCGTCGGCTTCCAAACTAGTGCCATTAGCATCGTCATGTCATGTACCAATGCCATTTCACATGGCGCCTACCGTCGCTTCTCGGCGCGCTTGGCGTCCAAGGCCAAGCGACCGGCTTGGAGTTTGACTTCAATTTCGCGCATTTGCTGTTGGAGACGCTCTTCCTCGCGCTGCTTTTGCTTGGCGCTTAGAAACGCATGGAGGCCACTCGTGTGCACGGACTCGATCGCTTCGTGGCGCATCTCGAGCGTATACATGTTGGGGTCGTTGCTGCCGCGGGACCGCTTGTTCTCGGCCACGACCACATAGTCCTAGTACCATACTATGTCAATGGCCAACGTCAAAAATGAGATCTCTATATCACTTTTTCCAGCCGCACGCGCACGAGGTCGTCGGCGTCGACGGCGTCGTCCGAGTGCCACGAGAAGCGCCCGCTGAGGCCCGTGCGGTTCAAGTACCCGCCCCGAATGCCGAACGCTTTGGCGTGCAAGTCGAAATTCGGAGGAATCGTCGCGTAGCGCAGCCATTGCCGGAAGCGCGTCGCGTTGAACTCGGGCGTCTCGGGCGCATGCTCGTCATGGCCGTTGGCGAGCAGCACCGGCGACGGCCAGTACGCATCGAGGGGCGACTCGACGTGCGGCGGCGACAAGAGCACGACGGTCGTCGCGGGGATCTCCGAAAAGGAAAAGAGGATCTCGCGCTCGATGGCCGCCGCGACCGAGCCGGGCACCCACGCAAACCAGCGCGGCGCGAGGCGCGGCGAGTCGAGTGCGAGCACGACGTGGACGAGGATCGTGTCGGACGACGACACGCGCGCGTCACGGAGGTACATGGCGGCCGGGCGCGTGAACGGTTCGTGGCACCACCAGAGACCGGGAAAGGCGGAGAGCGGCACGGTGCCGGGGACGTTGCCGAGATGCTCCATGCGTCCGCACGACAGGACCGAGAGCGAGACGAGACCGTGGTCGTCGATCGGGCTTTTTCTCTGCACGAAGCGATCGGCGCCGGCGATGGTCGCCGTCGCGAGCGGTGGCGCGCGCGCCATTTCGGCGCCGGCGCGGAAGAGCGGCGACGCACGCACGTCTTGCGTGTGCTGCAAGGCGCACTGCGCCGAGACGGATTGGATCTGCGAGTACCCGTCGTGGATGGCAGTCGTGTCGAGGCGCTGGCATAGGCCTTTGCCCGTCGTCGTCGTCGTATTGCAGTGGAAGACGGCGTTGAAATGGTCGAGGTTCGAGAGCCACACCGTGTGCACGCTGAGGACGAACTGCTTGGTTTTGTTTTTGGACCGCGAGAGATGCTGCGCGTACTGGTTGTCTTGGTTGACCGCGTAAAAGTACTTGGTGTAGAGCGGGTGGCGGGCCAAGATGGGCACGACGGCGGCGTCATGGGTCATCTGCAGCGCTTCGGACGCTGCGTACGCCGCTTCGCGCTCGGCTTCGGCGCGGTACTTGTGGTACAGGTCGTCGATGTTCCAGCTCATGGCGCCCTAACGACATGAGCGCAAATATCGTAGGTAGAGGTACAGACCTGGACCTCGACGAGGTCGCGCGGGTTGCTATGGAGGCCGTGCTCGCAGCGTGTGCGCTTCGTCGGCTCGGCCCAGCACGCATTGCACATGCGGCGCTCCGTGCTGTGCTCGTGCACGTGCGTCGACCGCGCCGGCGCGAGCCCGAGCCCAAGCGTCCGGAGGTCGTTGACCGCGTTCAACTGCGCGAGCGCGGCCTTGACGGACGGCGTTTTGGTCGCGAGGCCCTTGTACAGAGGCGAATGCAAGAGCTTGGCGGTGGCCTTTTCTCGAAGTTCGTGTTTTCGCAGCGCCGGGAGCTGGACCGGGTCGCTGCGGGGGATGGGGTGCACTGGCGCCGCCGCCACACGCGGCGAGGCCAGCACTGGCATCGTCTCGGGCCGCGCATTGCTTGGCGCCGGCACGATGAGCACCGACTGTCCGTACGTGGCCTTGAGCTCGTCCCGCGAGATGGACGCCGGCGCTTGCTCGGGCTTGTGCCCGCGGGCGCGTTCGACGCGGTCCCTAAATGCTCTACTATCAGATGCGAGACGAAGGTGAAGGCAGGTACCGCGCGGCCTCCATGTGTGCGCGCTTTGCATGGTCCTTGAGGATCTTCTTGGCGCTGGCTTCGACCGTGTGGATGAACTGCTGCAGGTCATTCTCCATCCCGCCCGCCTATGGCGCGGTTTCGCCGTTGCCTCCGCAAGGACGTTACGGTAATCTCGCATGTTTGCTCGTCTTGCGCCCAAGCGACTGCCGCCGATTCGATCTGCATGGCAACCACCGCCCATTCGATCTCGGTAGACGAGCCGCATGCACCGCTCGGCGTGTCGCTCGCTCGAGTAAGGGTAGGCTTGCATGCTTCGAGCCCGTCCTTGTCTTGTGTCTTGCAAGCATTTTGTCGGTTGGCACGTGCCCAGCACGCGCGCAGTTGTGGTGTCGAGTGGACGACGTCCGCTGTGGACAGGCGGCTGCGGATGGCTACTGTGGTTGCACTGCGTGGACGGTTTAAGTGCTTCTCGCGGCGGTAGACTGTGGCGCTGTATGTTGTCGGCTCTTGTCTCGACTCTCATCGTTGACACCTGTGCTTATCTAGCTACCAAGAGCTATGCACTGAGACGACCTGGAGGATCGCTCTTGGTAGGCACGCAGGAACGGTAGCTGCCCGTGACGAAGTAGTATGTAGCTGTAGGTAGAGTATTATTGATAAAGGTATTTACGTCAGTATTGCAAGGTAGGTGTTCGCTTGCGGATGTCGGCTTTCTTTTGGACTCTACATAGCGAGCGGTCGGTAGACGGAAACAAGTAGGTATTCTAGTAGAACGAGGTGTAGTCGAACTTGTCTGGTTTTCGTTACGCTTAGCAAACGATTCGATCGGCGTCATGCACGCATGACGCACACGCACGTAATGTCGTCGTGCGTGATGCCCTAGCACGCGCCGGTGTAGTCGTTGATATCTACTAATTAATTGGTGTACCTTGCGCTCGCACTCGGCCTGCGCCGCAAGCACAATCTCGGTGCACGCAGTGTCCGGGTCGTTGCAGTACGAGAGGATCGTCGCCACGTCGTCGTTTGTGAGCTCGTCAAAGACGCCGTCCGACGCGAGCACGAGCCAGCGAAAGTGGGGCGTCAGCTCCACTTGCGAGATCTCCGGCACCGCGCACGCGCCATTGCGCGGCAAGAGGTGCGTGTCCCCGAGGCTCCGGCTCGGCGTTTGCGTCATCTACGCTCTGATTGAGTCGTCTCGTACACGGCGGATCGTGCCACCGATTTCGTCGGGTGCGAGATGACGATGCGGCCGTCGCCCAAAGCGCGGAAAGGCAGCCCCAGGTCGAGCACGCGCATGCGCTCGTCCTACCACATACATGCGTCGTGGGCGCGCTAGAGTTTGCTTGAAGCGTACGAGGTTGTGCAGGGTGTGGTCCGTGGTCGCTTGACGGAGAAGCACCGAGCCGGCCGGGTCGTCCTGCAGACACGGCGCATTTAGCCAGCGTTGGGTAAGCATGGAATTACTTCGAGTACGATGGCCCGGCAGTCCCCGGCGTTGGCAAAGTACAAGCGCGTGGGCGTGACGGCCACGACAAGCGCGGTCGTGCCGCTGTTGCGGTCTTGTGATATGGCTTCAACGAGCTACAGACGCATCGCTTGCTTTCTCGAAAGGAAGAAGCAGAGGCCGCTACGTGCAGGTGGGCCCGCAGGAATGCTCCCGAGAGCGCACGCGGAATGTCGAAGTCGGGCTTTTGTTGGAGGTACGCTTGGACCTACGCTCGCATGAGAGCGTGGACGATAGCAATACGATGCGTCGCACGAGCGCTTTGGCCTTGGACGAGTAGAGCTCGCCGTACACGCCATGGCCGTCAAAGATGCCGAGGATGCCCAGCGCGTCGTCCATGAGAAACGTATCTTGGTTGACATCTTTGCGGGAATCGTTGCTGCAGAGCGAGCGCGCCTCGATCATGAAGCTTCCGGGCAGCTTGCACTCGCTAGCCATCATGCATGAGCCTCGTACGCAGGCGGCGACGTCGCACCCGATCGTTGGGTTGCGGCGCAGCTTCGCTCCATGCCCTGGCTCCTTCATGCGGCTTGTTTTTATGATACAAATCCGGATACGACGGCTCGAATCCGAAAGGCGTAACGTGATTTTAGACAGAATGCGTACCTGCCATATAATACCTTGACAATTGTATTGGCAGCAACTTCAAGCTAGAAGAACGCGCATTAAGGTGGCGCTAGCGGACAAGGGTACATTCTGTACCCTTGTTGGCCACGAGCGGCCACGAGATCGTCGTGGAGGCTGCAGGCTATGCCACCAGTGCAAGAATGGCGCTGGCGGTTAGAAGACAGCTCAAATTCGCTCGGATCGTCGTTCTGGGGCGTTGGCTTCTTTTTCGAAGCCGACCAGACCGAGTTGCGTTTGTATAGACTGCAACCCCATCTTTCGAATCCCGTATCCGGACTGTGAGGTTGAAGCGCTTGCACCGATGAGCAGCATCTTCCAGCACCTCCTCGAGCGGCAGGTCCGCCCGACGTCCCGGCGATCGCTGTACAAGCATGGCAGCGCTCCGCGTCCGATCCGGCTCCGGCGCCACGTAGCAGTGCACAAGGCGGCAGCCGTCGCGGAGATCACACTCGGTGGCAACATCGTGTTTTGCCGCATGGACGATGGAGCTTGCTTCGCCATGCACGGACGCACCACAGCGCGCATGAACCTCTCGCCCACCGAGCGCGTACGCTCCATCTACTACAATCCACTGAACGCGTCTCTCGTGCTCACGGCGACGTGGGACAAGGACGTCACGGACGAGGTGCACTGCCGGTCCGTGAGCCATCGGTCCGTCCCTCTTCATGTGATTGCATGCTATTACATAGCCAACGTAGACACGTGCTGCGCGTGACACCATCACCAGGCAGAATGCTTTTGCTGGCGAGTCGCTTCGGTGGCCCGGGTTTCTCGAGTTTGACGAGGCCAACGGCAAGATCCTGACGGCGTCGACGCCGCACATGTAGGCTGTTGTCGCTCGGGCGAGAGGTGCTACCCACAGCGTAGGCTCTACAAGGTCTGGGACTTGCGCACATATACGCTGCTCTACGCGCTCGACAACGCCGTGCCCATGCGTGAGGTGAAGACGAGGTGACGACAACCAAGCATGAGGATTTTATCCGCACACATGTGCATATTCTAGTCCTGGGCTGCTGCTGGTGCAATGGAACACGCATCGCGCCGCGTCGCGCCGAGCGCCTTCGCTGTCCGTGCTCGACATTGACACGGGACAGGTTCTCCTGCATGCCCCTTGCATCCCATCTCATGTCGTCGTACCACCGAGTAGGTTGTCGCCCACCTCGCGCCAGCCATGCTGCGGCAGCGCGTCGTCTTGATCGAGCTCTTCGACAGCATGCTCGTGTACAAGCAAAGGCATGAGCACCTGCGCGTTCTCAACGTACGTAGCGTCCTCCTAGCACGTACAGTCGCTTCACGCTGGCGTAGCTGTGTACGAGCCAGTGCGTCGTGATTCCCGCGACCCGGCATGTCCCCGTCCATGGCTTTGCCTTCCTCTACGCCGCCAAGCTCTTTCTCGTGACCGACCTTGTCGCTTCGGTCCGCGTCTATTCCATCGCGGGCTCGCTTCTCTCCACGTACGACTGTGCTCCTGCTCCTGCGGCGGCTGATGGTCTCATGGGCACGGGGTAGGGTTTACCAGACGCCCGGCAGCGTCAATCATGTAGTAGCCGACCACGTCGTCGTCTCGTGCGTGCCTGTCGCCGGTACGTCGAGGCGGCCCTCCGGGCACACGCAAGAAAGAGTGTGGCTCTAGGTGGTGCCGAAATGCGTGTGCGACAGAACCTCGACCGCCATGCGACGGAAACACCGACGACGATCCTCCCGTCCCTGCCCACGTGCTTGGCGTACGATGCGGACTCGGGCGACGTGTACACAGGCGACGCCCACGGTGGTGTTAGTGTGTGGAGCGTATGGACGTAGTTAGTCCAAGCTAGTCAAAAAGGGCAGAGAGATACTATTAGATGCTCTTCTCGGACGACCGCCGCGTGCATGATGGTGGATGCTAATCGTTTGCGGGCGAGACGATATCATCTATCCACTGCAATCCGCTCAACTAGAGGTGGCCTGCTTGGCAACACCCAGCTTTGCTAAACCTACCGTCCTACAGCCGCCAGAATCGTCGGTCAAGTCCACCGCAGCTACGGTGCTTCTCTTGGAGTAGCTCCAAGAGCTTGACACAACGATGACGACGTCCTCGAGGTCTGCGAATCGATGCCGTGCCTCCACTCACGGCTCGAGAACGCGTCCGGTGTCTGCCTAGGTGAAGAGAGAGCTAGCACGCCGTGCACTGGTCATGCCACCGTCTTTTGACGGTCCAGAACTTTCTGGATGTGCACGCTCTTTTAACACAATGCAGACACGCATTCACATGGCAAATGTGTTATGGGCGCGTGCGCCGAACGCGACCTCCGCTTTGCTGCGGTGCGCCGTTTTGCACCGCCAACGGCCTTCGGCCGGGAGCACGCGAAGGACATTGAAGGATGGCGGATGTCTGCCGCCGGCTCTGCGGCGACTGCAGCAGAAGGCCGAGTTTCTTGGACCACTGCACCGAGGGCTCGGTGGCACTCAAAGGGACAACCTTATCGCGCTGTCTGCACTGGGCAATGCCGTTGAAGGCGGACGACAAGCGCCAGGCTCGTGGTTGCTGCTGGCCACTGGGTACCGTTGCGACTGCGACCCGACTGTTGTCGCGGTTGCCGTCCGGATGAAGAGAGAACGACCCTCGCGATGCCAAGCAAGAGGACTACTCTTGCGCTGAAACTCGGAGGCTGATCCGCACTCCTGCACGCAACCTTGCCTGGGACTGCTGGACTTTATGCGTCGACCAAGGACGTCCTTTCTACAATGCAGTGCGATGGCCTTCACCATCTTTGCAGCAGCAACAACAAGCGCAGCAGGGCTAGCCGCAGACGAGCGGAGGTGACTGAGTCGGAGTTGGGCTGACAACCCGTCGACGAGGTACTCCCTACAAACGCGATCATGACTGGCGGGCGAAAGGAACGATCTTCGATTGCACGTGGTTGGCGCTCCGGATCTCAGGACTCCGATTCCAGCAATTGCCACGTTCAGTTGTTGAACTTGCATATCTTTGCGATTCCAAGGCTGCTTCGTAGAGCAGTGACATCGATCCGTGCCATCATACCGTACCCTTCGCCTCCTCCATGCAGCCTCGTGCAAGCCAAGCCGCTGCCGTCGGCTTGTATGTGACACGCGCCGGCCCTTTTCGGTTCAGCGCCGTCGCTTCTCGCTATGTCACACACCTCCTACTGTACGATGCTTCTGGCCACGGCGCTGTGATCATGCCAGCCTCTCGACGCCATACATTTCCTGCCACGTCGCCGCCTTGCTCTACGGCGCCGCAGCTGCATCAATGGCAGCGTGGTTGTGCAACGTGCTGCACTATACTCGTTTAAGCCAATTTCAACGAAGTATTCCTTCAAAACAATGCGTGCGACGCTGTTTCACGGGAATTTCACAGTAAATATCACTTGATCAACTGCGCGGGCCAATCAGCGCGACCAAGCAATTCAGCGGATGCACTTTATCTACGCAGTCATTTGCGAATTCGCCGACGATGGCCAAGCACGTGGTCCTGCTGGTAGCACTGGCGCTCGTGGCGTCCGTGGCAGCGATCGATGCGACCAGCGATGCGATGAACACGTGCACGGGCGGCGGCGCCTTTGGCATGTTCCGCCGCCAGCCCGGCTGCGCGATCAACAACTGCCAGTGCTTCCCCGTGCTCTTCCAGTGCGACGCGACGCTTGGCGACGGCATTGGCCAGTGCGTCCTCTCGAGTACGTTCATCGATACCGACGACTCGATGGCTCATGCGAACCTGTAGACTCGGGCTGGGCGTTTATGATTGCAGTGCTCCTCATCAACCTCATCGTGCCGGGCGTGACGCTCCTCAAGCACGCGTACGAAGACGGCAAGGTCACCAAGCAGCAGCGCGCCAACAAGCACAACATCCACAACGTGGCGCATGGCGGCGAGAAGCAGCTCTCGCTGCAGGACGACGTCGCGCCTGCCGACGGCGTCATCCCCAACAGCGAGCTGTACATCAGCCTCAAGAAGTTTGGCAAAAGCGTGCCCGACACTGCGTACGGTCTCGACACGACCGCCAAGATCTTCATGGAGACCATGTCCAAAGGTGCACACTCGCATCCTCATCATCAACTATTCTCATACTATGGTTGGTAGGTTGGATCCAATACGTCTTCTACTCGCTGATTGCAGCGTTCGTCTTCTGCCTCCTCTTGCTCTGGGTCCCGTTCGAAATGGCGCAGACCAACGTCGTGCTGCACCCGACCGCCGTCGCCTCGGTCAACACGTCGTCGTACGACTTGCACACGGCCGTGAACACGAACCTCCCGACCGCGATTCGGTTCGTCTCGCTCGAGGGCGACTTTTGCGCCGCGTCGGCCAACTTGTTGGCGCGCAACGGCCTCAGCACGCTCCACGTCGCGTACGACATGACGTTCAGCGTCGACGAGAACGACATTCTGCAAGCGTTCGACGGCGCCAAGTCGCTCGGCTGCAACTGCGTCGACGGCGTCTGCGCGCTCGTGCCGTCGCAGTCGTCGACGATCGACGGTCTCCTCCCGCTGGTCTACTTTCCGTGGTACCAAGACATCTCCAAGCCGTTTGCGCTCGAAAACAAAAACCACTCGTTCGAGCTCAACGCGACGTTCACGATCACGGCGCCGGGCCGGATGCAAGCGACGACGCCACTGCGCCCGATCCCGACCTTGTCGCTCGTCGCGCACCACTCGTACGTCGAGAAGATCACGGACGCCGTCGACTTTGTCGTCTGGGTCCTCGACTTCGTCTTCTTCGGCCTCTGGTTCTACCTCAACCGGCCGGCGACGCAGCCGAAAGACACGCACAAGATTCCCGAGCGCAAGGTCGTCGTCTTCATCCTCTTGACCAACATTTTGAGCTCCGTGCCGATCTTCTACCTCTCCAACTGGTTTAGCATCCACGCGACGAACCAGACCATCTACCTCTTCTCGCACGTCTGGACGTCGTCCGCGACCGGCCTCTGGCTCCTCGGCCTCCTCTTCGCGATCGACATGCAGCGCAAGCGCGTCTTCACCTTCCGCTTCGTCTGCGTCAAGGTCTCGGTCGGGCTCGTCGGCCTCGTCACGTACATCGTGTCGTTCTACTACGCGCCCGTGTACATCTCGTCGATCGTGGATTTCCTACTCGCGATGCTCGCGGCCGCCGTCTTCCGCGGCGTCATGGTCAACGTCCGCAACCAGCTGCGCAACCAGAGCTACATCCGGACGCGGCCCGAGCAGCTCACGGCGCGCCTCCTCTACTACATTGGCATGGCCGTCACGTACATCTTCATCGCCGTCGCGATCGTCGCCGACCCAGTCCCGCGCGTCTCGACCTTCATCTCGCGCTACGCGCTCATGACCGACCTCTCGATGCAGATCATGCTGCGCACGTGCACATGGGTCATCCTCCTCGTCTTCCTGCCGCCGACGTACGTCAACCCGGCGAAAGCCGTCTACTATGGCCGCGAACGCTCTGCGCTGCCGCACTTGACCAACGGCGCGATGCGGGATTTCGAGCTCGCGCACCTCAAGCAAGCAGTGGCCGCGCAGTCCAAGACGTTCATCGGGCAGTCGTACGGTGGCAGCGACGCGAGTGCGTGGAAAGCGCCGCACGCGTTCTGCATCGAGACCGGCGTCCGTATGTACAACATGGCGACGGCCGTCTACGAGACACTGGACCTCGACGTCTTTGCGCAGGACGAGCTGAGCTTGGTGACCGAGCTCTACGACGCGGGCACCGACACGTACGGCTACGTGCTCCGCGGCCACCAGCGCATCGTCGTCGTCTTCCGCGGCACGGCCAGCGCCAAGAACGCGGTCACGGACGTCAAGTACAACCTCGTGCCGACGGATTTTGCTGCGCACAACCACCCGGAATTTGAAAAGATCCGCGTGCACACGGGGTTCTGGGCCGCGTACAACACGGTGCGCGCCGACCTCCAGCGCGCCGTGAGCGCGACGCTCACCGAGATGGGCCGCGACGTGCAGCTCTACTTTACGGGCCACTCGCTCGGCGGCGCGCTGGCCACGCTCGCGTCCTTCGACGTGGCGTACGCGACGAACTTGGACGTCGTCATGTACAACTTTGGGTCGCCGCGCGTCGGCAACCACGCGTTCGCCAAGGCGTACAACAAGCTCGTGCCGAACGCGTACCGCATCGTCAACGACGGCGACGCGGTCGTGGGCAACCCGAAGCGCGTGCTGCACGCGTACTGCTCGCGCAATCTGCGCTACAAGCACGTGGGCACCGTCATCTTGCTATCGTCGCGCGCGTCCGGCGTGTTCGTCTTGGACCCGAACATCGTCGAGATGGCCTTCATCGCGAAACTGCGCAACAACGGCCTCTCGCACCTCATGTCGAGTTACCAGGTCATGCTCAACAAGGGCGTCGACTGGATCAACCGCGAAGAGCTCCAGAAACTCGCCAAGGAAGCCAAGCTCGGCGCCGACTCGGAGCGCACGCCGCTCATGTACGCCTAGACTCTTCTAGAATAAGATGATACATTGACGAGCTTCTTGGCGTTGATGCAGTCGATGAGGTGTGGCTTGGGACAGCAATGTCTCTCTCTCGTTGCGTGGCGGTCGCGAGTCGAAGGGGCAGTCGTAGGCATCGCAGGGCCGGTCGCTTGGTGTGCTTCCCACCACCCTCACGACGGCAATGGACGATGATCGACGCGTTCATCCCGCAGTGTTCTAGTGATCGCAAGATGACCGCCGACATCAAGGCCTCGACGGACTTGAGCGTGCAAGAAGAAGCGCCCGACGAAGAAGTGCGGCCATCCAAGAGCGTCATCACACGGTCCGAAATCGCAATCGACTGCGCGGCTCTTTTGGCAGCCGTGTGTCGCACTGCTCACCATTCGCGATGTCCTGGATGCCCACGCACCGCGTCGGCCATTGGCGCATCAACGTCGCAACCAGTCGCATTGCTCAGGACGACGCCGACTCGACGATCCAGAGCTACCTACTAGTATGAAGAGCACTATGAGAACTGCAGGTTGGTCGGTGTCGATGACGAGAACATAAAAGAGAAGGACCCTCCACGGGCACATTGCATTGGTCCTCCTACGAGAGCGAAGACCTTTGCGCCGTGCGCCAGACATTCTACGCGGGTACAAATGGCCCAAGCAGATACTTAGCCTCTTGCGACCGCAACCGCGTAGAATCGGAAAGGAGTGACACCACCGGGGATCGAACCCAGCGCCAACTGGTACCGAAACCAGCGTCTAAACCACTAGACTAATAGATGCCACTAGTTTCTTCACGTTCGCAGTGGCTGCTGTAGATTTCTTCTGCCGTACAAAAGCACCACGACCCTTTACACCGACGTCTCGCGAGAAACCCTACCCCTCGTAGGAACCATGCATGCGTCTACGACACACAAGACCGAAAGAATGGACGGGATCCTGGTTGGTCGGGTGCTCCAATATATGGAGGCTGCCACCGAGCTTGTATGACCTGAAGCGCTTGAAGTTGGATCCCAAACTTGCGTTCGCCCGGCTGTCTTGTCCGCTATTGGCGGCATATGCCACCTGAATGTATGCCGAATGCTGGCGACTTGGCTGGCATTTGCGGCATAAGCCACCTCTTAGCTGCCGAATGCAAAGGTCGGTGCCGAAGATAAGAACAGTTGCGTGTCAAGCGCTCAGCGCGAGTGCAACCCGAGGACACACATCGGCTAAACGCTGTCCATCCTCGCTTTAAACGGAGAGCTTGACACGCACATATCTTTTAGCAGCAGCGACCACAGGAACTGTGATCTTGTACTGACCGACCGCATCGACTTCTGGGCGTCCACGCCAACTCGGCCGCTAGCAGAGGCCGCTTCGTCCATATGGGCCCGCAAAAAGGAGGCAGAGCGACAACGCCTCAATCAAGAAGCTCTCGGTCAACTCAGCGGTCAACTTGCACTCGCTAGCCATCATGCATGAGCCTCCTACGCAGGGGGCGATGTTGTGGGTTGCGGCTTGCGTTTTAGGATTATAGTCCGGATACGGCAGCTCGCATCCGCAAGACGCAACGTGATTTTAGACAAGGTCCGCGAATAATCTCAAGAATAGAATGCCCAGCAACTTGAAGCTCGACAAACGCGCATTCTTGGAGGAAATGACAGGCTTGTTGGGATACTGGTGACCTTCCAGCGTCCTACCACACGCCTGCAAGAGTGAGAAGGACATTACTGTATTGCTGGTGCGCAATTGAATCGAACAAGTTTGCATCTGAGACTGCCAAGGTGATCCAAGTGCGGCGATCAATTTGACCACCACTGTACGTTGCGCTATGCACAAGGCTTCAACTTGGTTGCGTGAAAATAGTCGATTCGCCTGGTCGATCACTCCAATACTTGTACGAGATTGGCACGTCCCCGCCGCCCGTGCAACTCCCGACCCCGCTGTTCCACGAATATGAAGCTAGCTCAAGGTGCCCCAATCGTCCTCTTAGCCGGTCTTTCTCTATTGTAGATTGCGATGTCTCGGGCAATGTCGTGATGCGGTGTGCGCATTAGAATGACGTGGCAGCGCGTTCTAGTGCAACTGTAGGCAGTAGGGGAAAAAGACGTTGGCAGTTGGTTGTGTGAGGATCAACAGATTTGAAAATACCCCGCCGCCCTCACATACCGTCCACAGCTTCACCACAAGGTCGTCGGCCTCGACGCCAACAAATGGGCCTCCGACGCCACGGGCCTCCGACGCCAGCCCCGTTTTGACGAGACTTTCTGCACGCACCGTGCCATGGACCGACGCGCTCCGCACCGATGCGCTTTGCTCTGGGCGACGTTGTCCAAGGTGGCAACAGCGCGTGACGACGCGGCGCGCACCGAGCTCCTCGTGCAGCTCCTGCGCCTCGAAGCGCACGTCACGACGTACAAGGGTCCACCTCCGAAGACGTGCCTCTCCAAGGTGTTGGGCGACGATCGCGTCGCCTACATGGTTGGTCTCTACACCACGCCGTTGGTGCTGGATTACGTGGCCTCGCTCGATACTCACGACGCGTTGTACTCGCCAGTCAACATTGCCGCCCCTGCGATCATGCAGAGCTTCGCTCGCTTTATCCGTAGCTAGAATAACATAGCTACGCGACTAACTATCAATCAACAACATTTTCTCAATAACTTGTTTGCTCAGGAGGCAAAGGGCGCCAGGTCATTATTACCACTTGGACCTCGGGTGGGGTGGGTTACTGTTGAAGAAATCTCGATCTAGATTGCTAGCTCTGCGACAAGATCCACTCGTTTTCGAAAAGATGGTTTCGACACCCCTCGGCGCGCCAAACAACCCAGAAGCCGCTGCATGTGATGTACGTCTACCATCACCTTATATATATGAACGTGTTTCGCGTTATCTTCGTTGTTACAAAGAGTTCGCATACGTAGAGACTAGCAATCTCCTTCTTCTTCATTCGCTCGCCGGGCCGTGGCTGCGCAGGCGGCGGCGCGGGGGTGCATCTTGTTCTTCTGTAGTCGCGCGGGGACGCTTGTGGCCGCGGGTGAGGCCCATGATGACAAGCTCCGTGGATTCCTTCCAGGCTTCGCGATCGGCGGCAAAGCTTCGCAGTTTGTTGAGGTCGTCGAGAGACGCCAGCGACTGAGGCGGCGTCAACGCCTGGAGGTCGCGGTGCAGGACGATCGGCAACGTGATCTTGGTGCGGCCTAGAAAACGGGGCGCCTCGGGAGCGGCAAAGAAGCGGGCGGCGGCAATGTTGGCAGGGACGTCTTTCTCCAGGCGCAGCACGTGGCCCAGCAGGCGCCAGCGTTGGCGGGTGACGATCTCACTCAGCGGCACACTCTTGCAGCGCTTGTAGAGCGCGACGTCGCCGAGCGTGTTCGGGTAAAAGATGCCTACTACCATCACCTTGCATACATATTGATCGTGCTGAGTGTATGATACAGGTCCATAGCTAAAGCTGCGTCGGTGGCATGCACCTGCTTCTTGAGCTAATCATCGCATTCGTCTCGTTGACTCACTGGTGGGGCGCCTTGAAAAGAGGGAGCCACGTGTGCTTGCGCTGTCCAGTCGTAATAGGGCCCAAAGATGGTCGTGCGTTGGGCCTCCAAGCTAGCGTCGTTGCTTTTGAGGTACAGAGGGATCCAGAGAGGAAAGAAGCACGGCGTCGGCTGGCTGGGCGTCGGCGATGGCGGCCAGTAAGTCGCAGGCCGCTGACCACGGCACGGCCAAGGCGCGCACCAGGCGTCGAAACGAGGCGCAAGACAGAGCAGGTCATTGGCAACGAGCAGCTGGTCGTTGGATTGACCGCAGGAGATAGCGGTCGACGTGGAGGACGATGGCGCGCGTCAGCAGTCGTGGTCGTCAAGCTGGCGCCAGACAAGAAAGACAGGTCGCGCCACGCGATAGACGAGCAATCCTGCTGGCGGCCGTACGGCGCTTCGGTCCGCTGGCTCCAGATGAGGCGCAGCCACACGTCGCATCGGACACAGGCCGCTCGTCGACGCGGTCGGACAGCTCCATCGTCGGCCAGCTCATGGAAATCTTAGTTTTGGCACTGCTTCGTAAATTCGGCAGCACGGACGTGGCGAATGCCGAAAAGCTGTACCTGGTACTAATAGTATACGCCCAGCTGGTATACGCCACATGTTATCCGGTCCCAAGAGGCAAGCACACGCGGACAGCGCTACTAGTACACATGGAAGCACGGGATGTCACGCCAGGCGGCGGTCATGCCGCTAGCACCGGAGCTGGAGCGCGATGACTGGTAGATGATCGTGCGCTTGAGCATGCTCGAGGTTGACGGACCATGCAGGAAGCGCTTCTTGCATAGACCGAGCGCACTCGCCTCGTCATCGACAACCTCGTCCACGCCAACCCGACGATCTAGCCCCGACGATGCAAACCCGCGCATATCACGGTATCACGTCAAAGGAGTGAGATATGGTTTGTAGATTGCCAGCTTTGCCGCGGCCGACAAGGCGTACGCGTTGCGGCCACGTGTTGCAAGACACGGACAACGCGTTGCGCTTGGCCGCTACACCCGCCCCTCGCCACGACGTGCCGCCGACCGTGGCTGCGCACCCGCGCGTCGAAGCGGCGGATGTTTTCGATTTCCAAACATGTAGTACGAAGTATGCATATCGATGCTCGTGCAATGCAGATGCTGGATTGGAGGAACGAGAGAGTTGGTTGCCAGCGCATTGAGGCACTGCTGTGAAGCTATTATGTGGAGATGCGCTCTAGTAGCATTCTCTTCACTTGGACGAGGTCTGTACCAGCGGTCCCTCCTTGCCGGAACGTACACGTGGGCAACTATGAGAACTGCAGGTTGGTCGATGACGAGAACATAAAAGAGAAGGACCCTCCACGGGCACATTGCATTGGTCCTCCTACGAGAGCGAAGACCTTTGCGCCGTGCGCCAGACATTCTACGCGGGTACAAATGGCCCAAGCAGATACTTAGCCTCTTGCGACCGCAACCGCGTAGAATCGGAAAGGAGTGACACCACCGGGGATCGAACCCAGCGCCAACTGGTACCGAAACCAGCGTCTAAACCACTAGACTAATAGATGCCACTAGTTTCTTCACGTTCGCAGTGGCTGCTGTAGATTTCTTCTGCCGTACAAAAGCACCACGACCCTTTACACCGACGTCTCGCGAGAAACCCTACCCCTCGTAGGAACCATGCATGCGTCTACGACACACAAGACCGAAAGAATGGACGGGATCCTGGTTGGTCGGGTGCTCCAATATATGGAGGCTGCCACCGAGCTTGTATGACCTGAAGCGCTTGAAGTTGGATCCCAAACTTGCGTTCGCCCGGCTGTCTTGTCCGCTATTGGCGGCATATGCCACCT